ACGTACTGCCGCACACCTTATTCCAAGACATCTCGTTAATTATATAATCTTGCCGATGAATCTATTGACGTATATTTGTGCCTTTGGGGTATAATAATTGCTTTGATCGCCTTTCGCATGAATATCGTTGGATGACTTTCTAAGGACTTTTTATTCCTATGTGCCGTGAATGCTCGTGTTACTCTGAAGTAATCAATTGATCTGTTACCCAATTAACAACGTGATTATTGAGGGTTGAATGTATGTTCAATGAGGAGAACATCGCCTGGAGTACTGTGTTGACCATTTCAAGCATAACAATTTCGCATATTAAAATGTCTTTAGGTTTTGTTGGAATATTGTGCATGTCTGTTTTAAAGACTCTCCGTATCACCAACTGAGCTCGCGTTACGCGGTGAATTAATCATAGGTGCTGTTGCCAAAGTGAAACAACGCAATCATTGATGGTTGAATGTCCTACTACCTGAGGGAAAATTCCCCGATGGTACTGTGTTGATAAATCCAAGCATGAGAATTCGCATAGTATAGTGTTAAGGTTTCGTTTAGAATAAAATTGCCTAACACAGAAGTAATTGAGTGTTTCTTTCATGAGTTCATGCAAAATAATCTTAGTTATAAGAACTGTATCCTACGTTGAGATTTGAATTTGGAGACCTGACATAAACACTAATATCTAATCAGTAACTGTTAAAACAAGAATAATTGTATTATACCGATCAATAGTATGAACCTAGACAACGAAGCCGAGTTTAATCTGGCAGACTTACATCAAACCTGCATAACCTCATACGATCAATTGCATTATCCCGATTGATAATACTAACCTCGTCGGCGAGGCGGGGCCTAATTATCATAACGGCTCGTATTAGCATAATCGCACACTCGCATAAATGTATACGATTATCTCTCTAATTAGCGTAATTTATGCGCATAATTACATCAATTAACATAATTTCGGATAATTACGGATACTTCCAAATTTCATTTAACTTTTTATTATTTTCATTCAAATTTTCATACCCGTGATATACAACAAGACTCACACCTTGCAAGGTGATGAGGTAATCGATAGCAGTACAGTCTAGCGAATTACTACAGCAAATAACGTGTGCTATGTGACTATATATTGCGTGTGAGTGTATATCATATGGACATGTATTTATCTCTGATACTTTTAATGGTTGTGAATGTGTAGTATTGCTGTGTTTACATGCGTAGTGAGGTCAACTGAGTCGCAGACGTACTCCTTGGAGGCAACACATTAATACCAAAACAAAGAGGTAACTGCCCCTTCACCAGATAACAACCTCCGGTGGTGGACCACCAGGCAAACTACACTAATTACACCGTAACTAGCTACATGACCACCAGGCTAACCACACTAATTACACCGTTCTAACCTAAATGACCACCAGGCTAACCACACTAACTGCACCGTAACTAGCTACATGATCACCAGGCTGAATACACTAATTACACCGTAACTAGCTACATGACCACCAGGCTAACTACACTAACTACACCGTAACTAGCTACATGACCACCAGGCTAACTACACTAACTACACCGTAGCTAGCTATGTAATCACCAGGCTATCTACACTAAGTACACTGTACCTAGCTACATGACCACCAGGCTAACTACACTAACTACACCATAACTAGCTACGTAACCACCAGGCTAACTACACTAATTACACCGTAACTAGCTACGTGACCACCAGGCTAACTACACCGTAACCAGCTACATGACCACCAGGCTAACTACACTAAATGCACCGTAACTAGCTATGTAACCACCAGGCTAACTACACTAACTACACCATAACCAGCTACATGACCACCAGACTAACTACACCGTAACTTGCTACATGACCACCAGGCTAACCACACTAATTACACCGTACTAAGCTAAATGACCACCAGGCTAACTACACTAACTACACCGTAACTAGCTACATGACCACCAGGCTAAATACACTAATTACACCGTAACTAGCTACGTGACCACCAGGCTAACTACACTAACTACACCGTAACCAGCTACATGACCACCAGGCTAACTACACTAACTACACCATAACTAGCTATGTCACCACCAGGCTAACTACACTAATTACACCGTAACTAGCTACAGGACCATCAGGCTAACCACACTAATTACACCATAACTAGCTCAATGACCACCAGGCTAACGGCACTAACTACACCGTAACTAGCTACATGACCACCAGGCTAACTGCACTAACTACACCGTAACTAGCTACGTAACCACCAGGCTAACTACACTAATTACACTATAACTAGTCGCCCTCGGCTCGGGGAGTCGGGCCGACTCGCCAGGCCAGGTCCTGGTTGTCCTCGGGGCGACCAGGGTCCTCAGCCCAGAGTGCAAACACCGAGTCGTTAGAGTGGCGCGCGTGCAAGGGGTGTATGGTGGCTACCGTGGTGCGTCGTCGTTGCATTTCCGGGGTACTGTGTATGTTAAATACCTGCACAAACAGTCGGCCCCAATCTGCATTGACCAGCGTGGCTGATCCCACAACCCTGTACCGCGTCGCCAACTCCGGGTGAGGAGTTAGCATTACCTCGCCCGATGGTCGGTGTGTGTGGGTCGGTGGAGGGTGTTGCCACTGGCACCAGCATCTCGGCGAGCGGCCCGATGGTGACGGCCGACACCAGGGTAGCGGCCACGGGTGCAAAGCGGGGCGATTCGGCTCAGGTCCCAGGAAAGGAATCCGCTCCCCGCTGCCTTCCACGGTGGCGCATCGCTGGCGGGGCTGCACGTTGAGCCCCAGCTTTTCCAGGAGGTCTGTACCTGTGATACACTCGTGGCATAACATGCTCGAGACATAGAACTCTTGGTCACACACCTGGCGTCCGAGACGGACTTCCAGGGTGACCCTCCCCAGAAGTCCATCCCGGCTCCACTCGCCGTGTGCACCGCGCGATCCGGGGGCCTGCAGGCGGCCCACGTCAATCCCGAGCACGCTGCATTGTGTGGCGCTCACGAGTGAGGCCACCGCCCCCGTGTCCAGCAAAATCCGGGTGCAACCGCCCATGTAACCTGCCCTTCTACCAGCGGCGTGGCCCCCGTGATTCCCGCAACCAGTTCCCCGCAGCCAGTCGCCCGTGCCTCACCGCGTCCTTGGGTGTTGTTGTCGGAATCTGGGTGGAGGTCACTCGCTCACCATTATTATTATCGTCATTTTGTGTTGGGACCGCGTCGATTGTACCCCTAGTTGGTCCACTCTCTAGGGGGCGTTGGCATTTAGCCCTGGTGCGTTTCTAGCGCGGGCGATCTGAGGACAGTCTCTCATGAGATGCCCTCGCCGGTCGCACAGATCACATGCCCGGGGGGCGGCCCCATAGGAGGCCCCTTGCCCGTCCTTTCTCTCCCCGATACGTGTCTGCCCAAGCTCTGCCCCCAATCGGGACACTCGTCCAGTTAGCCTGCCTACTGTGAAGTGCAGCTCTCCCATTTCGGACTGAATGGTCTCAACTGTAGACTGTAGTTTGGTCATGTTCTGGTTCGTTTCCTCGCATACGTGGGCCAGCTGGCCGGCTATATCTCCCATGCGGGTCTGTAGCCCTGCTACCCATCCCGGGGTTGTCTCGCGGGATCCCGGAGGCTCCCTTGCCCGGCCCTTACCGTACTGGTGAGCCCCTCCTCCTCTTCCTCCTTTGGGAGCAGGGCTCGCGATGGCGCATTCTCGTCCCAGCCCCCGGAGCTGCGCGCGTTCACTGGGCAAGCTCCTCGCACTCAAGCGCGCGCTTGACAAGGGTATCAAAGGGAAGGCTTGCACTACCCACTTTGGGCTGCCACCAACGTGGTGCAGGCTAATACCAGAGGGTTTTGTCGTCAGCCAGCTCGTCAATTACCTCTGTCGCGAACTCTGGATGGGCGATCCGTGTCAGCGATCGCACGTCTTCGGCATAGTCGCGAAAGTCCTCGCCGGGTTGGCGTCGGCGCGCCTCTAAGGCCGTCTTTGCCTGTCTCACATTACACATGCCGAAGCATAGGTCGAGTTGGCGCATCAACTCTTCTAACTGGTTTGGGCGCTTGCGGGTAGAGCCTCCACAAAGTCAGCTGCCCGCCCATCTAGATTAATAGTAAGTTGCCATAACGACTGCGCGTCCGTCCAGCCATTAAGCTCTTTAGCCCCTATGATGTTGTGGGCAAACGCTTTCCATGAAGGGGTCCCCATGCCGGTAAACCCATACCTTATTTTTACGTGGAGTAACGCGCCTCTCTCCTGTGGGGATATGGGTGTTCGTACCGCTTCTGACGCCATGTTGTCGGGGAGGCTGACCTCCGACTCCTCGCTCCCTGGAGAGCCATTGCTCTCCTCTCGCGTGCTCGGGGGAGGGTTACTGCCCTCCAACCCCCCTCCCCCCCCTCATCACAGTCCTTCTTGGCATAATCCGCTGCTGGGGCATAGCCACCTGGGATCAATTCGCACACACTCCCACTCGCATGATCCTCTAAACGTTATGCACGCCGTACGCAGTCGCGCATACTCATGCCACCGCAGCCCCCACCAAAAATTCGATGCGGCTACCTGCCTGGCGCCGTGCACCAATCGCACGCGCGGGACCCGGGGTCAGGGATCAGAGGGCAGGGGCGTCACTCGTACGTGCGCAGCTGATTGGAGGAGGTGCCCCGGAGCTGGTTTAAAGGGCTGTATGAACAACCTCGCGGGTACGCCGCCCGTGCACCTCTCGCACACGCTAACCACGAGCTACACAGCTAATCTCGCATGCACGCCACCCGTCTACCTCACGCACACTTTAAGCAGAGGCGGCACAGGTGATCTCGCGTGCACGATGCCCGTCTACCTCGCGTACATGTTAACTATGAGCTACACGCAGCGGCGAGCGCACACACGGGGGTAAAATACACGCTCGTGCGCAAACACAGGATACCACAACGAGAAGGCTCACAGCACCATGCACTCCTCTCCGCATTCGCAGGGACGACACGACAAGGTTTATTGACTACTGGCGATTTATTCTCCGCGAATAACGAAGCGAAACTACCCGTGTCAGTGTGGGCTAGCAGGGCAGGTCTAACCTATCTCCCAGTGGTCTAGGACTCAATCTGTCCCGTCTCTCCCTAATCACTCTCCCTAAGGATATTCCCCTTAACCTCACCTCTCTCCTGCGTACTCACGGTTCGACTCCGAGGTGTAGGAAGCCGTGGAAAGGCGAGGCTGCACGTAGTCCTCGCTGGGAACGGGGCCTGGCTGCGCTGCGACTCGTCTCACGGACGATCCAGTGGCAGGCACGATGACTCCTCCGATCCTTGACCCCAGAAGAACACGACTGACTGCCCCTACCTTCCCTGCCCTTTTTATTGTCGTTACATCAACGATAACTTGCCGCTAATCCGCTGGCCTTTCGTCCAATCAGAAGCCTCGAATTTCCCGCTGCTCTCTAATCGGATCAGTTCTCTCTCCGACGTCCGCTTTTAACTCTTTATGCAAGCGCATTCGTCCCGCCGTTCGTTACTCCGCCCCACCCCCTACCTGCCTGCTGACCCGTGTCGAGTGTGCCCCTCTATCCGCGGCGGCTGAGCAGCCCCGTTGTGACCATGCAACTACCATCCAGGTCACGGCGCCGCGGTGCGAGCTAGCCTCGGGGGAGGTCGCCCAATTCCCTGGTCGCAGGAAACTGTGAAGATTGGAGGGCTTCCGGGTGAAAGCCTGTCGGACAGGTGACCTCCCCTCGGGGCTCTATGTGTGTGTGTGTGTTCATGTCGGGGGGTGGTGGGGGAAGCGCCGCGACGGAAGCCGGGCGGCTTTGTTGCTGCAGCACCCCCGCCGCAGGCACGGCTCCGACGGAGCGGCTTCGCTGTTGCAGTACCACTGCCGTAGGCACGGCTCCGACGGAGCGGCTTCGTTGCTCTGGCACCTACAAAGTTGCCCAAGACAGATAACGGAACTTTGTGTGCGGAACGCGAGGCGGACTGCTGCATCGCAAAACCGTGAGAGGTTGCAACAGCTTGGGCAGGCCTTGATGCAGCAGTGGATAGATCGTGGCTGATTATGATGTTTTTTGATGTGTGCATGAGTGTGGTTGTGTGTTGTGTGTGTGTCGGGGAGCGGTAGTGTAGCCGTTAGTGCGCTACGCTTCGAACCTGGCGACCAGGAGTTCGATTCCCGCTCATGGCCAACATCGGTGACGATTATCTGAACCGATCTTGGGCCTCCCCTAGGTCGACTCAGCCTCAAATGAGTACCTGGTGCGGTGTGTAATAAACATCGCCACTGGGGAGACAAAGGCGGCCGTGGGTGGTTCTGGCCACCCACCCCCTCGTGTGCCGTTCTGGCCTTCATAGGTGCTTGCTAACAGCACTTGCTCCAATAGTCTGTTAAGGCTAGACGGGGGATCTTTGTCCTTGTCTTTTTGTGTGTCGGGGAGCGGTAGTGCAGCGGTTAGCACGCTGCGCTACAAACCCGGCGACGCGAGTTCGATTCCCGTTCACGGCCACAGTGACGATTATCTGAACGGGTCCTGGACCTCCCCTAGGTCGACTCAGCCTCAAATTAGCACCCGGTGCCGGGTGTAAAACATCACCACTAGGGAGACAAAGGCGACCGGGTGTGGTGTTGGCCACCCACCCACTCGTGTGCCGTACCGGTCTTCAGAGGTGTTCGCTAACAGCACTTGCCCCAACAGTGTTACAGGCTATACGGGGGATATTTGCCTTTGTGTAGGGAGTACCTTTGTGTTGTCGTTTAAGGCTGTGTTTTGTGTATGGTGGCACTTCTGTTGGCTCTGTGGTTACAAGCGGAATGATGGACAAACATCATTCAATGGTCTGGATGGCGCAAAACACAAACTACTCATTAGCACCGTTGTGGAGAATATAAGAGATCAGCAGACAATGTCTCCTCCAGATGTCTGTCTCTCGACATAAAACATATAAAAGTATATTAAAAAAAAACAAATGCAACTACCTCACGGTCTTCTGGGGTTGCATAACTTCAGCAAGCATTGACCCAAAATACAGTAAAGCAAACTCTGGACCGGCTTCGACATAGTGTGTCTCATCGGCAGTGTCAGACTTGCTAGAATCAATGCTGCTCAATTGCTAGCCAGATCTCTTTTGGATAGTCCACAGGCTGATGGTTACAAAATATTTGTGAAGATTATGCAAACTGATTCACATCAATGCACAAGAGAAGTTTGGTGAGTAATAAAATGTATATTTTAATTCAATCACCTTCAGTAGGTGTCTCTGACGAGCAATGATAACAAAAATACATATGTATGTTGAATTTCTATCCCACCGTACGTTGCCAAACGTGCGAATCGGAGGTGCATATTACATACATACAGGACATACAAAAACAATGACCCATGAAACGTTTTTAGAACTGCTTCTCCAGATCACGTCATCTAAAAGAAAAAAAACAGTGTTGTGGAAAGCGTGTATTTTTTAGACTTTTGGTTTTCCTCCTTTGACTATTGGGTCTGGAGATTTAGGCTACAAAGTAACACGCACGGCATCAGTGGCATTAACAGTGCGGTGTGTGTGGCGATAACATTAGGGTTCGGTGTTTAAGAAAGGCATGAGATCAGTGCCCTGCACTGACGTTTTGGAAAGGCAATGTTTTTCCATCGAAACAGGTGCAGGGCAGTAGTTTTGCTTAGTCCCCGGGTTCGTTTGGGGTGGCCACGGTGGTGAGATGTTATCTCCCTCGCCTGGTATGCAGCAAGTCGTGGGTTCGATCTCGATCCTGACCCTGACACCTGCTGCTGTATAATTTGGAGTGTGCGTGTCTCTCTCTTCTCTGGTCGCGTGGATTTTTCTCCGGGTCCCTTCGGTTTTCCCTCCCACCCATGCCTACCGCCCTCCCCTCCATCCTTGCCCCCCCTCCCCTCCCTACCTACCCCCCTCCCCTCCATCTCTACCCCCTCCCATCCATCCCTACCCCCTCCCCTCCATCTCTACCCCCTCCCATCCATCCCTACCCCCCTCCCCTCCATCCCTGCCCATTCCCCTCCATCCCTGCCCCCCTCCCCCACTTTCCGCCCACCACCCCTCCCACCCCTCCCAGGTACAATTACATCACCATGACCCAATAAGCACGAGCGAACCCTTCCTTATATTTCGCGCCGACAAAAAGTCGTGACTCACGACCCCCCATATAAGACGCCTGGCTATTTAAAGAGCCTTAAGCAGCTGATAACGTGATCCCGAGCGGCTGCTCTTCTTAGCTTGAGTTGCCCCGTCGTGTTTTGCAGGTGCAGTAGGAAGGAAGGGCGTGCGGAGGACAACATGGCCAAGACTCGGACAATCTACCTGCAGCTGGACAAGGTCCTGGAGGAGGTCTTCGTCCTGGGCACTGAGCTGGTCATGGACATTTACCAGTGAGTGACGCATGGCGCTGTGTGTGTGTTACAAGTGAGTGATGCATGATGCTGTGTGTGTGTACCAGTGAGTGATACATGGAGCTGTGTGTGTGTACCAGTGAGTGACGCATGGAGCTGTGTGTCTACCAGTGAGTGACACATGGAGCTGTGTGTGTTACCAGTGAGTGATGCATGGAGCTTTGTCGTGTGTAACAGTGAGTGATGTATGGAGCTGTGTTGTGTGTACCAATGAGTGATACATGGAGGCTGTGTGTGTCACCAGTGAGTGACGCATGGAGCTGTGTGTGTAACTAAGTGATATATTTGAGCTGTGTGTTGAGCAGTCGTAAAGTGGTCGAACAGAGCCGGTATACACCTATAACACTGTTTTGTTGTCGTTCCCGCGCACCTCCGATTAGCGCGGTTGGCTACGTACGGTGCGAAAGAAAGTTCAACATACATATAACTGTTCCCACTCCGATGCTACGATGTTTCCGCAGAGGGGAAACTGATAGTTAACGGTGGGAGGGATGTTGTGTGACAAAGTGGTCTCATGCCGGAACTTTTTACATTTACATTTTGACCTCTGATGTCATAAAGACATGAGTGGGCACGTCACCACACCCGGCCTTCAAGGGGAGTGTAGCTGATCAGGTATTTTCATCATGACTGCCTCCCCTAGTGGCCACCGATCCCGATAATTATGCTGGAGGTCGTGGGTTCAATCACGACTCTGACGCCTGCCGTATATTTGGAGTTCGCGTGCCTCTCTATAGAGATGTTAACTACCTCGCCTGGTAGTACAGGAGGTCATGGGTTTCAATCCCGACTCTGACGCCTGCTGTATATTGCGAGTTTGCGTGTCTTTCTCAATAGAGATGTTAACTTCCTCGCCTGGTATACAGGAGTTCGTGGTTCAATCCCGACCCTGACGCCTGCTGTAAATTTGGAGTTGGCATGTTCTCTGTTTCCGTGGTCGTGTGGATTTTTCTCCGGGTTCTCCGGTTTTTCCCTCCACATTTAGAAACATGCGTTTTAGAGTATTTGGCTGCTATAAATGTACACGTTGATAAGCCACTTCGTTTAGATATAAATTGTGACCAGGTCGTTACTGAAACGAGTTCCATATCTCAGTGGGCCTTACCTGGTTAAATAAATGTAAAAAATGTGTCATTTTTCTCCATATGTTTACACTACATATTCATAATAATTCATAATACATATACAACGCCCCACATTGTCTTCATTGTTTGCCCGTCTACAGGGCGAGCAATAATAAGCGTACGCCAAGGACCGTAGGTGGGATGGTAGTTGTAACAACGGCGGTGTAGCTATCGAGTGTGCAGGCATTGCCACTGCACCCGGGGGCCCACGGGCCGGAGGCACTCAGGTGCCAGCTATGAAGAGTGGTTTGCAGTTGGACAGCGTCCCCCATCGCAGTAATCTTTATCTCAACCACTATCACCGTATGTACAAATATATAATGTACAACTATATATTATAATAGCTATACGGGCAGTCCTCGGCTTACGAGCCTAATTCGTTCCTAAGACCGGTTCGTAAGTCGAACGGTTCGTAGGTAGGAACACAATAACGGATTATTTAAATGCCCATGCGGTCGGTGTTATGAAGTCTGTTACGGTTTAGCAAAACAGGAAAGCATCGTTAAACTCAATTAAGAAGAAACATTGTACATTTGCACGTAACACTGTAAATAATACTGTGAAGTAAATCTTCATATATATAAAAGGCACAGTTGTGAATACGTGTGTCTGTTCAAAATGTTTAGCGTACTTCCCGACGTGCAACAAAATGGAAATTTGCCATGTGGGGACTTTCCAGGCTGTACACCATGCAAATATTATACAAAATACAATTTTTTTTGGGGGGGGGGGGGGGGTGCTCAATAATGCATATATGTTTCGCACGGCAAGTGAGCTGTGACGTCAAATCTGTCACGTGATGCGCGCATGTTGAAGCGTAACGCATTGTAGTGTAGTGGTTAGCGCGCCACGCTATGAACCCGGCTACCCGAGTTCGATTCCCGCTCACGGCCACCACCGGTGACGATTATTTTAACCGGTCCTGGGCCTCCCCTAGGTCTACTCAGCCTCAAACGAGTAACTGGTGTGGTGTTTGAACATATCTCACTCTTCTAGTCTCTCCACTGCTAGCCTGCCTGTCACGCTCCGCTCGCTTTGCTCTCTCTGCTGCTGGCCTACCACTACACACTCTGATAGCTTCCCACCATACACTCCGCTAGTCTCTCCACTGCTAGCCTATTACTATACACTCGGATAGCTTCTCCACTGCTGGTATCTCACTATATCTTCTGCTTGTTTCTCTACTGTTAACCTTCCACTATATACTCTGCTAGATTATCCACCTCTAACTATACGCTCTGCTAGCTTCTCTACTGCTAGCTAGACTCTCTGCTAGCTTCTCTTGTCTTTCCTCTTCTCTTCACTCCGACCAACTCAACTCTTTCTCCCACGCTCCCGTGTATATAAATCCCTCCTCAGTAAACTCCTCGTGAATTCAGCAGGCGACCTGCAGTCGCCTAACGCCCGTGGCTTTCCTCGTTATTGTCTCAATCTCCCGGTCTGCCCGGCGTCTTTTCCCCGCCTGCATTTGCAGCCGGCCAAATCACTGCCATGCATCTTAAAGAGCCGCCTCCTTTCCGTTGCTCCCTCTCACCACCGCACCTGGCCACCCCGAATGCGACCTCTCAGTGTCTGTAACCCGCACACCGCTTGCAAACCCCACCCCACCCACTACACAAGTGACACCTCTCCCACAGTCCCACTTCTCCCGGTAGTGCTTGTTGTCTGACAGCTGAAGTAACTGAACTGTGGATCATTTGAAGGCCAATTTCGACAAATTATTCTGGAGGTTCCCTAACCCCCCGTTTCCTATGCGTACGTAACATTGTCAGTAGACCCCCCATACGCAAGTGTACGCATTTGGGTTAACCACCCCCTCCCCCCTCCATGCGTACGTACTAAATGGATGGCCCCCAGCGCAGCAGAGCACTAACCGCTACACTACCACTCCAAACAAACAAAGTTCCCCCGTATAGCCTTAACAGACTGTAGGGGCAAGTGCTGTTAGCGAGCACCTATGAAGGCCAGAACGGTACACGAGGGGGTGGGTGGCCAGCACCACGCCCGACTGCCTTTGTCTCCCCAGTGGCGATGTTTACACATCGCACCGGGTACTCATTTGAGGCTGAGTCGACCTAGGGAGAGGCCCAGGACCAGTTCAGATCATCGTCACTGGTGTTGGCCGTGAGCGGGAATCAAACTCGGGTCACCGGGTTCGTTGCGCAGCGTAGCGCTAACCACTACACTACCGCTCCACACTCACTTTCACACACACGTCCACACACACTCACTTTCACACACACACACCAAACGCTGACTGCCATCGTGGGTCCAACTCATCACCTCGCGGACGATCGCAACTCTGAACAGCATGTTTCCGCGGTTCAGTTTGCAATTGCGAGTTCACTGTTTTAAGTCAAAGCTATTTTGAAAATATATTTCATGGAAGCTGGTTCGTAAGAACGCGGTGTTTGTAAGTCGGACGTTCGTAATTAGTCTTCACCAATAGTAGCTAGTTGTAATTACTGGCGAAACGTCGTACTCAGATTGTAAATGTTGTGGCTTGGCTCTCCAACACGCCGGTGTGCTGTACCAGTGACGAATTGGTGACGTTCTATACTATTTGGTTCTATTCGGTAAAGTCACGTAGGTAAAAAAAATGAAACAACAAAAATCACGACGTTTTCGGCCACAACACAAGTGGCCTTCATAAAGTGAAGGGACCAGTGCTATCACGAAGACAGCGTTGGAATAAAGAAAGTCAAGCCAGGTTGCGTCCTTTAAGCTGTGTGGGATGAAACCAAACGCTTTGACAAAGGAATTAGCATAACTGCTGATAGAACACTTAAAGTGCTGGTAGAACACTTAACACGGGGGGGGGGGGGGGGGGGGGTGGGGGAGGGGAATTTGACAATGCAAACGTTGTCTTGAAGGGAAATAAGCTGCTGTGAAAGTTTGGTATATCACTACTGGATAAATATACTGATACCATTGAAATTAGTTTAATGTTTGGTATGATTTAGAACATCTTTCCAATGATTGCTTAATTTGAAACCATCTTCTCGGTTGAAATTGTGTCTGTGTTTGTAAATCTGAATTGCCTCGTGTACAAATCTCTGATGATAACCTGTGGGTTTGCAAAGGACCTGGGTATTGGAGAACACCATATCGTGATCACCCACAGCATTGTAACAGTGGTCAGCCACGGCAGAAGAATTCGTTCTGCCGTGTTTCAAATCTGATTTGTGCTCGCGAATTCGGTCAGAGACATGTTGCTTCGTCTCCCCGATATAGCAATCACCACAGGTGCAGCTCAATTTGTAAACCCCGGGGTACTGTAAGTCCGGAATGACATCCTTCACATATGGGATCAGGTCACGGATTTTGTGTACTGTATTGAACCGGACCAGGATCTTGTGTTTGTTTAGAATTTTGGAGGTCTTTTTAGTAACGCCTGGTATATATGGTAGTGTGATTGTTTTGACCAGAGATAAAGGCAACGCTACTGTTATTATGGATAAAGATTCATACAACAACAAAATCCAGAATCTGCTCAACGATGGAAGTTACTCAAAAATAACAAACAATTACCCCACTAATAGCCTAGCGATAAAAACCAACAAGATCATCACAAGTTCGACCTCCCTAATCGACCCAACTAATCGTCCCTCCCTAAAACCTTCTGCTGCAAGACCCCCTAGATTCTATGGTCTTCCCAAGATTCATAAAGGCACCCCACTTCGACCCATCGTATCCACGATCAACTCTCCTACCTATAAACTAGCCCGTTTTCTGTCAGATACCTTGCTGCCTTTAACTGGCAAGACCGCCTCAGCAGTACTTAACTCAGCCCAATTGGTCTCTATGGTCAAAGACGTTGTACTGTCCCCTGACGATATCCTTGTCAGCTTCGAT